ATCAAAAACTAAATTTAAATTACTTTACGAAAATAATAATAATAATATATTAATTGCAATTCAATAATGTAAATGATTAGAAAAATAAAAAAAGTTACAGTTATTAAATATGTAATCAATTAAAAAACTGTGTAACTCTGAAAAGTAAAAGCAGAAGACAAGTAAATCCGAATTGTGTGGTCAAGGTGATGACAAAGAAATACAGTTGAAATAATAGTTTATTTTAAATAATTATTTTAATTTTTAATTGAATCAAGTTATAAAATAAATAAATAATTATTGTTAATAATTTTTTTTTTAATTATAGTAGTTAATGTCTTATAAGAAATCAATAAAATAAAGTAAAATTAATTTATACATTGTTTGTATACAGATTGGGTTTTTTTAAATATTGCGCATTTTAGTTTAAAATTGATAAAATTCATTTTCAATAAGAATTTTTTTTTTTTTTATATATATAATTTCTTTCAAATTTAAAGAAACGTAAATTTATTCAAACGTAAATTTATATAAAATGGGGGTTATTAAAAGAAACGAAAATCTTTTTAATGTCAAATATACAATATCGGAGGAAACTTTATAGTAAGTTATAGATTTTAAATTATTGCGAAATAAGTGAAAGAATTTTAATTTCGTATATAATTTAATTTTTTCTTTAGTTGATATTTGTTTTTGCCAATTATAAAGAACGTTCTTTATTTGTTTTACGTTTTTAAATGATGTATACCATATATAAGCTCTTATTGAAAAGAAATACAATTAAAGTTGCCTGTTATTGTTATATTTCAATACATTAATTATTAATATAACATAAACATTTAAACTCATAAACATAATAATTTCAAATAGTTTTTTTAGTTATATGGAAAAGTTTTAGCTTTGTTAACATTTGATTACATTGCATTTTGTCAAGGTAAACCTCTGTATTTGACTGTAAACAACAATTGTTTAAACTAAACTAACTTTTAAAGAAAATAATTTTTTCCTTATCTAAAATCACAAATGTTGTATAATGTAAACACCTAATATAATTATTAACTTTAATAAAAATTTAAATAAAATTGATTTATTAATTTTTTACATTATCTTTTATAAAATATGGATTTACTTTTATATTATTTTGATGTCAATATTTTATTCAATCTTTCAATGGTATAAAAATAAATTTCTATAAAGAAAACTAAATGATTTTATTTTTCTTCGACATTACCTAATGTTTTTTATAATATTTTAATTTTTATTTTGAATTAATTTATAGTATACCTTCAAGTGATGATGAAACATTAAATTATTGGACTGAGGAAGAAGTTCAAACTCAACAGCATGTACCTAATTTGAGGCCAAGACCCCCAACTATTGGTTCAACATTTTCAACATTAAAAAATCATAGTGGGAAAAAAAAATTTCGACGATATCATAATGGTAAATTTAATTTTACTTAACACTAAATTTTTATTGTAAAAATACTTTGTAAAATAATATATTTTTTTAAAATCAGTACACTTATTAGAACAGGCTTGTTTCTACTTTCTTTTCTTTTCTTTTCTCTTTTACTCGAAAACTTTTTTTTTCAAATGTTCAATTTCAAAATTTTAATTTGATGAAAAATTACAGCCCATCAGTTGTTAACATTAACAGAAGAAGATGAATTACAAGAAGTTACAATAGAAGATTTTATTGAAAATTCAAAGTCTGGTTTTTCTATTTTATTAAATGACGAAGAAGCTCTAGAAGTGAGTTTTTTTTTTTTTTTTATCTACCTATTTAAAATTATCATTTTTTTTGTTATTGAAATCTTCCAAGTTTTTAAAAAAAATTTCAGTTTACTCATTACAGTGATTTATATTTTGTTTTTTTTTTTTTTGTTAATTCAAATTTTATGTTGAAAAATCAATATGGAGGTGTATTTTTGTGTCGAAAGACTTTGAAACATTCAAAAAAAAAAAGAAATTCACATTATTTTTATATCACAGTATCAGAATAGTTTATTTTTTTTTTTTTTAGAAATGGAATGAATTTATATCGAGTAGCGAAGAGCATCAAAGAAAGTTGTTGGAAAATGATAAAAAAAAACATGCTTTTCCCAGGCCTGCAATTAATAAAACATTGAGAAGTTTACTGAGGAAAAAAAGCGTTCCTCTGGGAATGGTTGAATATTTCGAAGGAGAAATTATTTCATTTTTTTCAGCAGAACCTCAAAAAATATACATTTCACCAGTTTTATCAAGTTTTGAAAGGCTATTACTTCATTCAGTATCTGATTATCATCATTTAGCTTCTTTAAGTGAGTTAATTTAAATTAAAGTCACTTTTAATAATCGAATTGATAAAAATCAAAATTTTTGAAATTTTTTTTTTTAAGGTTTCGTGTCAAAACCAGAAAACGCTAAACTCGTACGAGTTGAAAATCCAAAAAATGAATTTCCATTACCATCCCTACTTTTAGTTCAATACCTGAAATCAAACTACAGACTTTAGTTTTTTTCCAGTTATTAAATTCTGCATAAAACAATACGAATTTATAAGTGTTTAACTAACAAAAAAGAAAAAATTAAATTCTTTCCATCAAAAAGTATGGTTATTGTATAAACGTGTACATAATTTTAAATTAAGGAATAATAATAATAATTTGATTATTAATTTAAATCTTTGTACGTTAAAAATGCTTAAAACTTGAGCAAAATATTATTTTTACAAATGAGAGTATATATATAAATTTTATTTTTGAATGATATAATTTCTTCATTTTATCTTTTATTATTTTAATAATTATAAATTAGTTTGCCATAATTATAATTTAAAAAAAATAATTAATATTATAATTTGTTTTTTTTTTCTCTGCTTCATATGTGCAAAATAAATTTCTTTATATAAAAATATATAATATATATATAAATGTGTAAAGTACAAAGTTTTTTATTTGTTAATTTTATTATTATTATTATTATTTTTTATTTTATATGTTAAAAATTAAGTATTTACTCTCTCTCTTTCTCTCTCTCTCTCTCTCTCTCTGTCTCATTAAGTATTTTATTATTAATAATTTTAATTAATAAATTATTAAAAAAAAAAAATGGCTTAGGCAATCGTTTATAAAATTTTATATTATTGTTATTGTTTTTATATAGCTTAAAAATCATTTTAGTCCTAATTATTATTTCTGCATTAAAAATTTATAAAAGGGGTTATTATATCATTATTTTTTAAACGTTTTCTTATTTTTTAAATTTTATTTATAGTTTTTAAGTTGTTTATTCGGGCGGGATGAATAAAATCGATTATTTACATACAATAAAATGTATTTAATGTTTTTAAAAATATATATTTAAAATAAAGCTTTTCTTTTACTGATAAAATATCAAAAAAAAAAAAAAAAATGTAGCTAACTCAGCAAACTAATTTTTTATCATTTATACTAATTATTTTTCATAAAATTATTTATATTATTTAGATTTAATAAACTACCGGTGATGTGATATTTGTATATTCAAATAAATAAAAATATGCAACCAGTTTAGTTTGTTTTGTTTTTTTTTTTTTGAAAATTGATGTGATTTATATAAAAATTAATTGCAACTTTTGTGATAAAATAATATTATTCATTACCGCATTATTTTAATGTATTTAATGGTGTATTACGTCATGAGTAATAATTTCTTTTAAAAAGATTTAATAAAAAAAAGTTTTGTTTTATTGTCAATATTTGATATGTGCTACTTAAAGGGTCAAAATAATAATAATAATAATCAAAGTGATAAGTTCAAAAATTATTTGTAAAATTTATTTATATAAAGTTTTCTTTTAAACTTACAATTTTAATAAATATGCAATAATAAGTAAATTTGTTTAAAATTTTTTTTCTCAATACCTCATAATATTATATTTGAAAGCACTCATCATGGCATTAAAACAAATTATTGTAAAAATTCCTCTTCAAATTTTGGTCGAATTAATGGTAAATCGAATCGATTATTTAAAATTTTTATCGAACAAAAATAAACGATCAGTTTCTTGATAAGAAGTCAAAGGGATATCGTACGGTATTGGAAATTCATCATCATTTCCGGAATTATATCCAAATTTTTTAATTTTAAACACATTTTTATTTATCTACAAAACGCGTGATAAAATAAATTATATAGTTTTTCATTAAACCGTTAAAACCGAGATTATTCGGAGTAATATGATAATTAAGAGGTACTCACCAATAATTTAGGTAAAAAAAGTACTCCTGCTTCGTATGACATTATTTGCAACATTCCAGATTTTAATTTTTTTCCCCAAGCAGCTTTTGATAGGTTGGCACTCGTGAGTAAAAACCAAGAAATTTCTTCTTTATCTTCATTTATTCTTGCATATGTTTTTATATGAGGAACCGCTTTTGAACGTTTACGATGTTCACAATACCATTGCCTGTAAATAAACATAAAAATCAAATTAACAAACATTTTTTAAGTTATTGATTACGTTATAAGTTTTAATAAATTTTTTTAACCTCTTACATTAGATATTTATTCAACCAAAGTTGCTTGATATGAGTACCACTAGAATATGGTAAACAACCACCTCCTGAAAGTCCATAAATACTTGATGCAACATTTCTAACGGATGGATAAACAATGGAAACTTGAGGCGATGATAACTTCGAGGAGGTACTTTTTACGAATTCGTTGAGTAACCAAGAATCAGGTGCGGGTCCGAGTGATCCTAATTTTAAACGATTTAATCAATGCTTGAAGACTTTTTAACATGTTTTTCAAATTACTCTAATTGTATAAATGACGTCACTTGTATCCAGGATAAGAATAATAATACTTGCCTATTGATGAACATTGTATCACTATCCTTTCTTTGTCTTCTGAATTTTCAACAGCGTGCTCTTTGATAATTTTACCAAGTTTTATATAACCGAAATTATCAATTACTGAACCAGGCACAGAAGAAACGAAAAAAACTCTATAAATTTAATTTAAAAAAATTAATGACAAACAAAAAAGTGGAATTAAAAAAATTTTTTTTTTTTTTAAATTAAAAAATATTTTTCTAACTTAATTAAAGAACAATCCGTTTCTTGAATTTTAATAAGTAAATTTCGAATTTCCGGTAATTTATACGATATTAAATATTGTAAAATTTCAAATTTGAACAATGTATCAGATTCGCCATAATTAATTGGTACATCATCTCCTAAATATGGACATTTTGGACTGATCCAAACTCTGAAAAGAAAAATTATTAATTGTATTTTAATAAAACTATTTATTAATTAATTTTAAAAATTTGGAAAAATAACCACAAATTTAAATTTTTACCCTTGTGTTCGATCTTCCCAGTCTGATTCAATTAGATTAGCCGTATAAATAGCAAAACGTATACTTCTATCGGTATAAAAAAAAATACTCATTTTTCTGAAATCATAAAAAAAACCCTTTTAAATTAAAAATTACGGACAAGTTAATAGTAATAATTTAATAATAATAATAATAATAATAATAATAATAATAATAATAATAATAATAATAATAATAATAAATTTCAAATTTTTTTCTATAAATATCATTAATTAACTTACGTGTGATGATGTCCAAACGGATAAGGCGATTTAATTTTTATTGCTTTTATATTTAAATGTTCTGGAATGTTCGCGAGATCTCCATCTTGGACATCGTACAAAATAGTCATCGAAGGATTAAATAAATCATTAATTGCATATTGAGCCATTAACCAAGGTAATTCCACCATGAAATTTATATGAAGACTATGATCTAAAATTCCTAAGCTTTTATCTAATAATTCTATATAATAAAAACCAAAACGAATAAGATAAAAAAAAAAAAAAACTAAATTTAAAATAAGATATAAAATTTAAAAATATAATAATAATACCTGGGAATGTTATTGTTAAATCTTCATCCAACGTATCGGGTATTTCATTTATTCCGGTAAGAAAGAAAAAATATGGATCCGCCATTTGTAATTTTACGTCAACGGAATTTTTCCACTTACACGAAAGTAAATACTTATTTTTATACAGTACAAATTCATTATTAACTTTTTTATTTTTCCCACTGCTTTTTCCACCATCTTTTCCGTTTTCCATTTTCTTATCGATAACTCACTTTGATACAAACAATTATTATTCGCAATTTATAAATCGTTTAAGCGCGTTTCCAATGTTTAATGGCGGTTAATACGTTATATAATAATAACTAAAATCATACACATTAAAAATCATTCTTTTCTTATTATTTTTTCAAAACTTTTGACTACAAATAAACATCTACAAATATAGTAAAAAATAATTTAGTTTATAAGAAACTTATTTTTAAAACCTTCATTACAAAAAATTTTTCTATTAAAAATCATAAAAAATAAAATCCTTTTGCTTTTTTTTTTTTTTATTTTTAAATGACTTCAAACTTATCAAAAATTTGAAAAAAAGGTTTTTACATTAATTGGAAGAATAAATAAATCATCAAACTTTGTAAAAAATAAAATATTTCAAGATAAACAATAATAAATGACACATTACTTTTTTTTTAAAACACAAATTTTAATTTTTTATTTTTTTTTTCATTTTGACAAAACACTATTTTAATAATATACATTTAAAGTAAAAAAAAAAAACTTAATTAAAGCATTTTGTTTTTGTTAATTTTTACAATAAAATTTTTTTTTAAAACGTAATGCTTTTTATATCTCAGACTTTGGGTAAATAAAGCTTTAATTCCAATAATTTAAAACTTTTTCATATTATATTTATTTAAAATAACTCTAATGCAATAAATAAATAATCTGACTAAGAATTTAAATAATAATAATAATTTATGCCAGTGAATTAATAATAATAAATAGTATTGTACTAAAAATAAGAAACTGATTAAGAAACAAAAACTTAGAACCTATTTTTATAAACCTTAATTACAATAATTGACTACATTTGAGATCTGTTTCATGTTAAATATACTGAGATTTGGTTTTTTTTTTTTTTAAAAAATACTATATTGTAAAAACTAAATTAAACATCTAATAAACTATAATTAAAACTAAGATTTTTAATTGTAAATAAAAATTGAATTTTGATGTTGTGGTGGAAAAACCAATTATTTTACTTTATTATCAATAACTAGAAAAGAAAAAAACTAAGGTATAATGTGGAGTTCATGTGCATTTACATTTTAACACAGAATACATATAAAAAAAATTGAATTTAGTTTAATAAATATTTTAAATTAATTTACAAAAATTTTCAATGACATTTTTTTTAAGGTTATTTCACTGAAAACTAATTTCGAAAAAAATTGTCTTTAAAATTTTTTTTTTGTTACCCGTTTTTCTATATAATAAATTCGGTACAAGCCCGGTATAGGTTTCTTTTCTTTTTTTTTTTTTTTAAATTATCACATTCAGACTTTATTAATTGAATCTTTTGAACTAAGATACTGATTTATTCGTTTGTAATAATTCCGGGGCAGCATTTTTATCCAAAATCCATAACAAAGTACCCTTAGCAAGTTTAACTTTTGCTGCTGGTAAATCTTGTCCACCGAATATTTGCTTTATTATTTCACTTTTTTCACTTCCAAAAGCTGAAATTATACAAAACTCAGCATTGTTCAATACTGGGAATGTTAATGTCACTCGACAAGGTGGTGGTTTGGGCGCATTCATAACTGGAGCAACCCACACTGAAGATTCACTTAAAACTTTGTCATCATTTGGAAATAATGAACAAATATGTCCATCTGGGCCTATTCCTAATAATATGCAATGAAATCTGGGAAATTGCACAGGAGGAAAATGCAAAGCTAGTTTAGATATATAATCTTTTGATGATTCCAATGGGGAAACATCGGTATCCACCTTTACTATATTTTCATTCGGTATTGGGATATTTAATTGACTAAACAGATTTTCATAAACTTTATGCAGTGGCTCCATATCAATTTGACTAAGTATTCTCTCATCACAAAAGAAGACAAACCATTTAAACCAATCAGTTTTAATTGTGGCAAGAGCATGAGTTAGCAACTGTACTAAAGAACCTCCAGTCAATCCTATTTTAAAACATCCATCTCTTTCAATAGCTAAGTTTGCTATCTTCTCTAGATGGCTAGCCAGTTCTTGACCCATTTCTTTAACATTGTTTTTTATGATGACACTCGAACCATTAATTTCCATTTTTTATCATTAATTTCTCACCATTCTGTAATTATTTAAAATTTTTTTAATGTCAATGAAATGAGTTTTTACTGAAAATAATTTGCTTTTACACATTATTAAATGATGACAAATTTAAGTTTTATTTTTATTTTATTCTATTATTGTTAATTTTGAAATCGGTAAGATGATTAATTTTTTTTTTTGCTCAAATAAAAATAAACTTAATTTTGACTAAAGTTAATATTTTAATTTATAAATTAAAAAGGAAATTATTTTTATTAATTTCAGAGCAATGAGCAAAATCAAAGATGTCAAAATATAAGACAAGATTAAAATTACATGATAAATAAAATTACATTAATAAAAAAATATCTAGTAGCAAATTAAACATGTCTGATGTTTTGTTTAAGATGTCCTGCATGTTTATGTTAAATTCAATAAATACTTATTTACACAATTTTATATGTATTTATATTTGTTAATTTTTTTTAAGCATTAATCTATTATTGAAAATTTAAATATAGAAAAAATTTTTTACTTACCAATAACTCAGGTTTACTAAAGAATGGACTACAAAGTTTCTTAATATATATTTTAAGAACCGCCTCAGCAAGACGTGTCTTGGCTAGACTTGATTATTACCAAATATGAAATTTAATCACAATCCTAAAATTTTTTATTACACCAAAATGCCATTAATTATTAATATTGATAATGATCATTTAAAATTTCTATGTTTTTTTTATTTTTTTAAATTTAATTTAAAATTTCGTTTTTTTTTTAAAATGAAATAAATTCGTGATCATGAGGTTAACTGTTTGATAATTAATTTGTATAAAAGAGTCAATATCAGGACAAAATATTTTGATTGTTTTTGAAAATACATTGGAAATCATATCTATCAAAAATATACATTTTAATGTATACTTTTACAAAAAAAAAAATAAAAAGAAGCTCGATACTAGTAATTGAATTTTAAAAAAAACCGTTGGGTAGTTAATATCATTCGATAAGCCTAATATATAAAATTTATGCGAACAACAAAAACGGAAGTAAAAATAAATTAATTTTAAAATTTACTTTCACTTGTATTTTAGAATAATAATATTTCTTTATAATCTTCATTAATTTGTAATTTTAAAAATAAATTTCAAACATGATTACGATTTTGGTCAAATAAAAATAACAACTGAAAAACTATTTAAATTTTTCTGACACGGCAAAATTTCTAACAAAAATTAAATATATATATTTTGATAATTAATAGGCTATTAGTAAAATAATACATAATTTATATAAATGGATAGAAATTTGAATGAATTTTGAATAACTTAGCTTAATAATAAAATACGATTCAAATGTTTACCTTAATATACCTAAGCAAAAATTCATAGTGTCGTTAACCGATTTTAATTCGAATAAACAGTAATTTTTAAATACTGTAAAAAAATTGGCACGTGATCAACACGTCAAATTTAACTAAGTCAATATCGCCAACGTTGTCTACTTGAATGTTATTCACAATTCACAGCCTGCTTATTAAAATGGTTTAACGTATGTGCAATTTTTGAAAATGTGGTATTTTTGGAATGGGTTAGTACCATTTATTTCATAGATGTAAATACTATTTTATTAAATATAATTATTTTTAAATTTAATACTATTCTGAAAATATTTATCTTTTATTTAAACACTTCTCGTATAAATAACGATTAGATAATTTTAATTTATCTGGTTTAAAAGTGATGGTATTTTTTTAAAATATGTCACTAATCTTTCTAATCTATTTAATCAAATATTATTATTACAAAGAAATTTTACTTTTAAATATTTTTTGATAATTTTACATATTTAAATACGTTGTATTTTTTTTTTTTTTTTACAGTCCCCATTATTATTTCAAAGAAAATTTTTCTTTATTTATTTTTTAGTTTTAAATCATGAAAATGGGAATAAACATTATATGAAATAGGATTATTATAAAAATGACCCCTTAGCTGATCCTTGATAGTGGAACTCAAATTTGTTAACAGATGTATTTAAGATTGGAAAGGTATTTTTTTTATTATATATTTTATAATTAAAAAAAAAAAATTAAAGTATTTTTTAGAAAAGCAAAATTCTGTGATTGTGATATTTACATTTGACATATTGTGCTTATTTATTTAACTTCAATGATTACAAATTAATAAATTTAATTAAAAAATTTCCTTAAAATATTTTAATATTTAAATTTAGAATGTGTAAAATATAATTTTTGTTTTAGTTAAAAACTTATTTGATTTCAAAGTGGGTGTTAGATGAGCTGAATTAAATACTGACTTAATTAAAATTATGTCAAAGGAAGCTAAAGGAGTTCAATTAGAAAAAACTGCACCAATGTCACCTACTAATAATATGACTAAAAATTATTCTTTAGTGATGGGGAAGGTACAACTTTTAAAATATTAATAAATAGGTAATGTAATAATTAATTTATAATACTCATAAGTAATTATTACAGGAGGTAATGATTAGTCCAACTTCAGAGCAATATGATCTTTTGCAGAAAAGATTAAAAGAGAGATTGGAAGAAAGTCATGGGGAAACAATTTATGATATTGGCATGGCACACGGTTAGTATATCTTAAAATTAATTTAATTTTTTATATAGTTGAAATTTTTAAATTAGTTAAAAACATTATTTTTAGATGGTGTCGGAGAGGATGGCTTATCTGAGCAAGAATTTGATGCAGCTTCAGCAACACTAGCATCCTTATCTGCATCATTAGATGCTGATTGTGTTTTACTCAGAAAAAAACAATGTAATAAAGGCTTTGCAGCACAGTTTTTAGTTCGAAAAAAGATAGATGAACATGACTTTATGGAAATTAGGTATGTTACTATATAAGTGGGTGCTTATTTTATTGAATTTGAAAGTAAACATGTTAATTTTATCTTTATATTCTCTATTCCTGAAAAATTTTGTGTAATTTCTTTGATGAGTATCCTCCTGTCATGATAATAATAACATATTGATGTTTACTAAAACATTTTGAATAACAATTCACATTTTAGTTTTATATATAAATTAATAATAGAGATAATAATTTAGGGTAGCAGTAGTTGGAAATGTAGATGCTGGTAAATCAACACTTTTGGGAGTTCTTACTCATGGAGAACTTGATAATGGAAGAGGGTTTGCTCGTCAAAAGCTTTTTAGGCACAAACATGAGCAAGAAACCGGAAGAACTAGTTCAGTCGGTAATGATATTCTAGGATTTGATAATAAAGGTTAATTAAACATTTACATCTAAATTTTTTTTTTTTTGTGTTCCAAATTCTTTATTTTGGTAATTAGAAATTATAACTCTTGATTTTTTTTTTTAGGAAATGTTGTAAATAATCCTGAACATGGGTCTCTTGATTGGGTTAAAATTTGTGAAAGATCATCAAAAGTAATTACTTTTATAGATCTAGCAGGACATGAACGTTATTTAAAAACAACAGTTTTTGGAATGACAGGACATGCACCTGATTTTGGAATGCTTATGGTTAGTTTAATGTTTTCTTTCAGTTTTTATTACTCTAACAACAATTAAATTTTTTACTTAGTAGGTTTTGTTTTTTTTTTTTTTTTTTAACTAAAAATTATTTTCAGATTGGTGCTAATGCTGGAGTCGTGGGTATGACCAAAGAACATTTAGGACTAGCGTTAGCACTTAGCGTACCGGTTTTTACGGTTGTTACAAAAATAGACATGTGTCCACCGAATATTTTACAAGATACATTAAGATTATTGGTTCGTGTTTTGAAATCTCCAGGTTGTAGGAAAGTTCCAGTTATGGTTAAAACTGCGGATGACGTTATTACCACCGCAACTAATTTTGTATCGGAGCGGTAATTATTTTTTAACAATTGCTTTATGATTTTATTTCGACTTAAAAAATTTCACACTTCAAAAATAATTCTATCTTAATTTGACAGTTTGTGCCCAATTTTTCAAGTATCTAACGTTAATGGAGAAAATCTCGATTTGTTGAAAATGTTCCTTAATTTATTGACCACTCGAACTCCTAGTTTAGAAAATGAGCCTGCGGAATTTCAAATAGACGATACTTATTCTGTGCCGGTAATTTAAATTTAAATTTTAATTTTAATTTTAATAGTATTTCCCCTTTTTTATTTCATCTATTTACTATTTGTAAAAATTTTTCAAAGGGAGTTGGAACCGTAGTATCAGGTACAACGTTAAAAGGATTAGTTCGACTCAACGACACATTATTATTGGGTCCCGATCCTTTGGGACACTTTCAACCAGTTGCAATAAAAAGTATACATAGAAAGAGGATGGCAGTGTCTGAAGTTCGAGGAGGTCAAACAGCATCTTTCGCTTTAAAAAAAGTAAACGAAATTAATTACGATTTAAATCATTTTGTTATTTTTATTACCTACGGTGGGATAAAATCAAAAAATATTTTATAGATAAAAAGATCTCAAATTCGAAAAGGAATGGTCATGGTATCGCCATTATTAAATCCTCAAGCTTGTTGGGAATTTCAGGGAGAAATTTTGGTTTTACATCATCCTACAACAATTAGTTCTCGTTATCAGGCAATGGGTAAGCATTGTTTACTTTTCAAAATTAAGTATCAATTTTTAAAAATATTTTAACCTCCTGCGTATTATATTTAATTCTTTTTTTTTTTCTCATAAAATAAATAATAGTTCATTGCGGGAGCATAAGGCAAACAGCATCTATTCTAAGCATGTCTCAAGAATGTTTGCGAACGGGAGACAAGGCAATCGTTCATTTTAGATTTATAAAACATCCAGAATACATAAGACCTGGTCAAAGAATGGTTTTTCGGGAGGGTAGAACAAAAGCCGTCGGTAACGTTTTAGCAGTTTTGTACCAAGCTTCGAGCAATCAGCCGATAAGGGGAAAATCTGGAAAAATCAAACAGAGTAACTCTAATCAAATTTTACAGCAGGTATAATGTATATGTAATAACGTAGATTGACGCGGTTGTTGAATTTTTTTTACTTATTTATTATATAAATTTTTAACTCGTTTCAGGTATCTATGAGTGGTGGAGAAGAGAGTGAGAAACACGATTCGAGTAAAAAAAATCGTAGTCGACGAGGGGGAAAAGGAAGGCAGATAAATTCAAAACCTTTAACCGAACAAAATATAAATTTACCTAAAGAAGGAATAACTTGTATCAATGCAAATTGAAGAGAAAAAAAAAAAAACAAAAACAAAAAAACAAAAAAAAAATAGTAAAAATAAAATTGAAATATAATTGATGATAACTTTTATTACATATAAATATATATATTCAATTGGTTTTATGCTCTAAAGTCGGTGGTTAGGGTTAAAGAAATATGGAAAGAAAAAAAAAACATGAAAAACGTTTTTCTTTAAAGGGGAAGAAGATTTTTTTAATTTTATTTCATTTAATTTAATGAAATCATTTATATCCTGTTTTTAAACGTTTTTTAAGGGATTGTTGGTTATTAAATTATTTTATTTTTTCCTACTTAAGTGAGATTGTTTTAATTAGTTTCTTTTTATCCCAGTAATTTTTTTTCTTTCTTTTCATCTATAAATTGTCATTCATTATTCATGCTATTAATTTTTGCAAAAAAAAAAAATTATGGAAAGTGATTCGATTATTAAAAATGTAGTAATAATAAGTTTTTCAAAAGAAAAATCATTTAAAAGAAAGAAAGAAAATTCGAGAATAAAAACATTTTGTTTTTAACATCCTATTTCCAAATAGAAAATTATTATAAATATTCCTTCCAATTATGAAAAAAAAAAAAAAATTTTAAATATTTTTTATTGTACAAAATTAATAATTATGTAATTATTAATCATCCTATTACTTTTTTTTAAAATAAAATTCATTTTTTTTCATAAAATTAGTGATAATAATAATAATAATAATGTTTTTTTTTCTCTCAGATTTTGATAATAATTATTATTTAAAATAAAAAAATATTATTGTACAGAAAACTAAAAAAAAAAAAAGCAATTTTGTTGATTATTATCAAATATTTATATAAAATATATATATATATATATAAAGTTTTTAAAAAATTTAACGTATAAAAAATTCGATTTTTTTTCCCCCCTAAACGAAAATCCATGATTTTGTTAAAAAACAAAATGTCGGAAATAATGGCGGTAAAAATTAAGTCATATATACTTGTATGTATTTTTTTTTTCGTGAAGATTTTATACTTTTATTCAAAAAAATTTGTACGAAAAAACATAATTACGATAAAATAATAATAATAATAATAATAATAATAATAAATTTTAATTTTTACAAATCCTGTCATATATATAATTTTTTATTTTATTTTAAATTCCTTAATATTTCTCCGTAACGAACAAACAAAACAATCCGCCATTTTGTTTTTTTTTTATCTAACGTAATATGTATACGTATATATAATAATTAACCGTAACTTTTTGAATAACCGTCAAATAATAATAAAAAAAAAAAAACTTTTTTTTTTAAATTAATTTTTATCTAAAATAGAAGGGAATTTAAACGAATATGAAATTGTGATCGAGTCCTTCTTTGCTTCTAAACGAAAAAAAAAAAAAAAAAAAAAAAAATGTTTGAAACAATGTTCGAACCGTGAATCGCATTCAACTAGTTAAACGAGTTTCTTCCATCAAAAAATATAATATACAAACCATGAGGTTTTTTTTTGTTACTAAAAATAAATTATATATAACGTAAAAAGGTCAAAATTTTATTTTTTTTATTTAAAATAAAAATATTATTATTATTATTTATTGGGTTTTTTTTTTTTTTTTTTAAAATGATTTTTGTTCGTTATTTTATTATTATTGGAGAAACGAAAAAAAAAAAAAACTAACGATTAATATTTTAAAAAGGTAATTATTTTATTTATTTATTTAAAATAACTCATTGTTTAATCAAAATCTTTTTTAATTAATTTTTATTTATTAATTACGTTTTACATTATTATTATTATTATTATTATTATTTAGTTTATTTAATTAAGTTTCAAAAATTAATGTCGTCGTTTTTAATTATTTTTCTTTTTTTTTTGTATGATAAAATGTCAAGTTTATAAAAATTTGTTTTTTATTTTAATCCATTACGTCAATTATTATTATTATTATTATTATTATTTTTAAAATCGAACATTATCATTATTATTATTATTTTAAAACTTTCGTTTAATTTTAGTTTAATTTTTTATAACAAAGTAAAAATAGCAAAGAATTTTTTTATTACCCTAGAAGGCTTGTACGAAATCGATAGCTATCGTTTTATTTTTTTATTTTTTTTTTTTTTTGCTGAGTAAACAAAAAAAAAAAAAATTATATAAAATCATTTTTTCTTTTCCCCCCTTTCCTCCCTTTCTCCCCTCTCCTCCCCTTAAGTTTTTTTTTTATCGAGTGAGTAAAAATGAATATTTTTCACCAAAACAAATAAAAAGAAAAAAAAAAAATTTTTTTTTTTTTATCAAAGGACAAATTAAATTGTCTCTCTCTCTCTCTTTCCCACCTCCCCACTCCCACCCCCTTCAAAGTTGTCTGTCTGTTTGTTTATATTTTATATTGTTACATTTCAGGTATGTACATATGGTTAATAATATTTTTTCAAACACTTGTATTGAAAAGTAATCAGGAAAATGTTGTGGGAAAAGTTAATCAGGAAAAAGATGTTGTTGTTATAAATCCGCCATTGGATGTATATAATAATAATGAAACTCTTTGCTTTGGAGTTAAGGAGGAAGCATGTAGTTTGCTTCAAGAAAAAGAAACCTGTTTGTGTAAAACCTTGAATAATGATTCTGTTTTTTGCTGTCACATAACTAATCCTTATCAATTAAACAATAACTTACGATGTGCAGGTATGTGTGTAAGTTTTTTTTTCTTTTTTAAATGTTTTTATGCATTCCGTGGACAACGCATAAAAGGGGTTTTTGTTTTAGGTATACAACTTGCCAAAGTAAGGTACATGCATATATTAAATGCAACATTACAAGATTTAAAATATTTTGCATTTGAAGCTTGGCCTAAATTAGAATCATTTTCCGTTACCGAAGGGAAAATAGAACGGATTTCTTATGAAATTAATTCA